TCCATCCAGAGGTGTCAGTATCACAAAGAACCTTGTTTGAATCTATTACTGACATCTACTTGACATTACCATCTTGTAAGATAGCCTTTCTTTATTGCTAGCTCCTCTGCCAGATTTCTGAGTTCTCAGCATTGTCCCCTAAGGAGCCCTATTTCTTTTACATTGGCAAAGGTTTTTTTGAGACCAAGGACCAAGTAATCTGTGCCTTTCACTTTAATGAGAATATTGTGTTACCTTCCCTGTGTCCAATGTCTTTTCTCTCCAAGGAGAACTCTCTGCATTACCTGAATGTTTTAAAGGGTTTTCCTCTCAGCTACTGCTTCTAAGGATTCCTTGTTTGTTATTCCAGAAGATCCTAAAATGGGTTCCCTGGCATCCAGATCCACCAATTCTTAGTTGATTTGGCAGGTTGTTACGCAGGCCTATGAAATGCGAAATAAAGTGCACCTTTTCCCAGTAAATCCTACTACACTTGGGCAGGTGTGTTTCTTGAGCTTTTTGTCATTGGGTCCCTTTCTCAGATCTCTAAGATTTCCAGTTGGTCCTATGTACATGCGTTCCCTAGGTTCTACAAGGCTAATGTATCTGCCTTGGCAGATGATAGTTTTGGTCAAGCTCAGCAAGTAGCTGTTTAATGCCTTTTGGTTTCCGTTTTGCTTTAGTTTTCTCCTGTTGGGCGGGGTTATCCAATGACACCACAAAGATTTTAAGTCTCACTAACTTGTTATCTCTCACCATGATTATTGCAATTCCAACAGACCTTCTATCAATTAGTCTTGAATGCTACTGCTAGACTCATCCATCTTACCAAGTGCTCAGTGTCCACCATTCCTATCTGACAATGCCTCCACTGGCTTCCAATCCCAAATTAATAAAAATCAAACTACAAAAATTAACAACATTCAAATACATCCACAAATCTGCCCGAAGCTACATCACTAACTTTCCAAATTTCACCAAACTTCTTTTGGCCCTTGTCAAGACCTCCTGCTCTCTAGCTCCCTTGTCACCTCTTCCCGTGCATGTCTCTAGGACATCTCCAGAGCCTCTCCCATCTTGTTAAACTCCCTACCTCAATCTGCATAACTCTCTCCTACTCTGTTTGCTCATGGGCAATCCCTGAAAACCCCTCTCTTCAGGGAAGCTTTTCCCACTTCTATCTAACAATGGAAATTTTACTTTTCTTGTACAACCCTTCCCCACACAGTTTCTATATTTTGTAGTGCTTGCCCTTCCCTTTTAGATTGTATGCTCTCATGATCGGAGCCCTCCTTGCCTTCTTGTCTTGAATTGTATTTTAACTGTACTTTCTCCCTTTATTTGTGAAGTGCTGCACAAACTGTTGGTGCCAGCTAAATCTTTTTTGTTGTTGTTGTTTTTTTTTTCATTTATATCAGTATTCTATTTAACCCCTTCCCTGAGACCTAAAGATATTAATGAAAATAATTAAAACAAAATATGCAGTGATGGTAAATCCTAATTATGACTTTTTTTCTAAAGTGCAAATGTTTTTATTGATGTGTTTACACAGCAGAAATTGACATTTAACATGATACAATAATTTGATCATATACATAGTACCCTAGCACATATGTTGTTTATTTTATTTATTTATTCCAAATGCTTCCAGGGGATTTTGGGGTTTCTCGTCTTCTGATGGGCTCCAGTGACCTGGCAACAACTTTCACCGGGACTCCATACTATATGAGCCCTGAAGTCTTGAAACACCAGGGATACGATTCAAAGTCTGACATTTGGTGAGTAGGCATGACTGGGAAGTGTAGAGTTATTCTCCAGTGCAAGGTTCTACACTGATTCCCAACATGATGACAATAATAAGGACAAAGAAGGTATTTGTGTTTGTCTTTGTACAATTTACATAAGCTTAGTTTATGTGCATGCTGTGTACTAGATTTCTTTCTTGCTAATGTCTCAAGCTTCCAGGGACCAGTTGCATGCATAGTCTTATGATAATGATAATGTCTTTGGTGATTAGTGCAACAACACATTTGAGTAACGAGCCTAATGCTTTATTTACTATCACTAACAGATATTTTTTTCATTACAAACTTTCAGGGGCCACCCCCTTCTTCTTGGAGTACTGCTTGAACTGAGAAAAAGGAGGCTGCCCTAAAAAATGAACTGTTAATACAATAAAATAAATATTATGGACAGTACTTAAATGAGTTAATGATAATGAATCTTTGATTGGGACATTCATTCTAAATGATAAAGGCGTATGTGGCTATAGGATTATTGCATCCATTTCTGTATTTTATTGTAATTTGCTTTGGTCACGTGATATATTTCTCTGATTCTGAACCCCTTAGATTATTTAGATCCTTCTGTTATGGGTAAAGGTTATGATCCAGACAACACTGAAAATTAACCCTTTCGCTGCCAGAGACGTTTTTTTTAATTTTTTTGCACACACGTTTAAAAAATAATTTTAGGCCTGAAGATTGCACAAAACCCCCAAACATGATATATTTTCTGAAATCAGACACCCTAGAAAATAACAGTGGTAGTTCCAATTTTTTTTATGTCTCATAAAGGTCTTAGAAACTAAAGTCAATTTGAGGGCAAACAAATGCAATAAATTACCCAAATTATTGAGAAAATATAAAAGACGAGGTTGCACCAAGTAAATAGATACCTGATATGTCAAACCTTAAATTTGTTTGTGCCCGTAAAATGGCGTCAAACTTCAGTACCCTATATATTTTATAGGTGATGCTTCAAAAGCCCCTACAGGTCATCCATTTAGCATTACAGAGGAGGTCTTTTGCTAGAATTATTGCTCTCACTTCGGCGTGCGTGACAGTGGCATGCGTGATGTGTATCGCAATCGCCATATTTACACGTAGGTGCCTTCGACATGAGTGATTACATTTGTACGTGTGTATATGAGTGGGTGGGCTCAACATTTTTTTTGGGAGGGGCGATGTTATGTGCTTGGGTGTAACTTTATTGCTTTGCAATTCCCCCCAAAAAATTTTTTTTGCTTAACTTTTTTTTTTTCATTACATACACAAAGTCACCTATGTGATGATTATTAGGTGACAGGTTCTCTTTAATGAGACATGCAGGTTAAAAGACGGGGAGGACTCCGTTACCAGGGTGTGTGGATGCAATTGGACAACAGCGCAGCTGCCTGACTGCTTTCACCTGACAAACAGGAGTCTGTCTCTCAGTTTTATACACAATCCTTTTGGCTGCAGCCACCAGATTTTGCATTAACCCCCCCCCCCCCCCCGATGTCAGATCCATACTACGTGAAAGTAACAAAAATGATACATATGCGGCAATCTCTCACTAGCAGTTTTTGGCCCCCCATAACATAGTTTTGTAACCTATTGATCCTGCCAGTAGTTCTTTATTTTTTTCCAGTTCCTTTAACAGGCCAAGCTGTCTAGCAAAACGGGAACATGGGCTGAGACACACCGTTAACAGTAAGATGCCTGCAGCTGCCAACATTTATTGATATAGTTTAAGTCTCTTCCTAAAGAATGGTTTCTTTTACTGCTTAAAGGATAAGTTCACTTATCGCAACATGCTACATGTTACACCCATATTTAGGGTGTAGTGTAACATGTAACATGTTAACATTCTGACTAGCCCTCGCTCTCCCCAGATCCCCACTTTGACCTCCTCCCCCCCCCCCTCTAACTGTCAAATTTAAAAAAAACTGGGCTCTGCCCACCAGGCCACGTCAATCATTCATAGCATTTTGTGAATAAGAGACTACCAGTCTGGCAGCCTTAGTGGCTGTCAGCTTGTAGTCCTCAATGAATCACCACAGTGCTGTGAAGTGGTAGTTCTTTAATTCTTCCTGTCAATATATCTGCTTGACCATACATCCCGTACGAGCAAGCAGATATTCTGACAGATCTGCAGGAGACCTGCATAGCACCAGCGATCTGCTGATCGCTGGTGCTATGATTTACAGGCTCCTGCAGACAAAAATAGTAAATGCTAATTTTTTTACCTGCAAAAAATGGCATTTATTATTTTTTACTAAAAGGTGAACTTATCCTTTAAGAACTGGAGTAAGGCTTTAAAGTGGAATTAAACCCCAAATCGAAAATGTAATATATTGTATCTTACCAATCATTCGATATGGTGGCTGTTGTGTCTTCAGGTTAGGGTGTCTCCAAACGAGACCTTATAGATCAGATGACGAGTCCGAATTGATAAAGAAAGGTGCATTTATTACACTGCAGTGGAGATAATATAGCATGCAAAAGTTCACCTCATGTGAGATGAACTAAAGTAATACAAAATATATATCTGTCTCTTTAAGCTTAGACTATTACATATATAGACATAACATATAGGCGTGATCGTACTGAGTTTCAGGCGTGGTCATATAGTTTTAATCCAATCAAATTTCATATGCTTAACAGCAATCTCAGAGTTAAATGTAGGTTAATAGTTTAAAATAAGTCCAAAAGTAGACAGTTGCTGGTTCAAACTGGTTTGACCATAAGATGCTTTTCTTAAACTTGAAAGAGGAAGTTAACCTTTAACCTCCTCGAAGGTATGATTCTATCCGATTTTTTGTGCTGAAAGCGGTACCATTTTTTTGCATGGAAATATGTAGTTTTTTATTGTAGGCTGTAATTTTTAGGAATAACTCACTGAAATCTGTACGAACAAGAGTCTAGTAAACATTCCGGATATGATAGAACTTGAAACACGAAATCATAAATTATAATTAAATAAATAATCATAAAAAATAATATAATAATACATTTAATTCAATAATATAATCAAACCAAAAACACTGAAATTTGAAATACAGAGGCAAATTCGCACATCGCTGAGCAAAATCGCAAAATCGTTTTCAGTGTCTGATGACGAATTTCCCCACGAATCATTATCACTCAATTCTGCAAGTGGTTCTGATTTACTATCGCTGTTCTCTAGCTGGTCTAAAACCACTTTTGACGTAAAGGGACGCTTTTTGGACGCCATGGACTTTTCTAAGTTTCCAGGCAGAAATAACAGTCAAAATGCAGGCAGGGCACAGGACAAAGTAGGGACAAAATATATGTGAAATGCATTGAAACAGCAATGACAGCAAAAATTAAATTTTTTAAAAATTTCAAATTTGCCGCCGGTTCCGGCGCTCCCGTACATCCAGACGTCACAGGGACCGGAACACGGAAGCTGGATGCCGGCATCGGCCGGAGGAGATGGCCGGGGACGCTGCAGGGGACACATCGCGGGAGCGAAGGACAAGATAAGTGCTGCAGGGACCCCCTGAGCAACGCCGCATGGTAAGTCCGAGTGTAGCTCGGGGTTACCGCTCTTGATACTCAAATTTTACCCCGAGCTACACTAGGGGAACCGCTAAGGAGGTTAAATCCAGACATCTAATACTTCAAATCACATTTCCTGAGAAGAAAAAAAAAGGAACTACAGTAAAAAAAACTCATACATATTAGAACATTAATTATCAGACCCCCTATATTTCTACTCACTGTATTAGTTTTCTTTCTTAGGCTTTTCACCCAATGTTTTCAGCTGGTGATTGGCTTAGTAACATACCTTCTGTATTAGAGTACTACACTCTGGACGAAGGAGCATCAGACACACCTGTGGACAGCCGCATTGTTAATTTGAAGGGATGGGGGTGTTAGATATACTAGCCGATTTAAATACACTAACAAATTGAAGCCAAGCTCCAGCTAACACTTTGTAAGCAGTTACAACAAACCGTTTTTTCCTTTTGGTATAAAGGTTTTACATAAAGGGCTTATGTACACTGCAGCTCCTAAACTGATGTTCAGGAGCTGTTCAGCATTTTTTTCAGAAGCCCCTAAACTCTCCCTAATGTTTTCCTATGTGTCCATGTACACAGTCGTTTACAGGCAGTTGAGTTTACAGTTGCAACAAACTTGCATTCAGGAGTAGATTTTACTGGCATTTTCAAACACCAAACGCTTGTAAACACGGTTAACTGTGTTTATAAGCGTTTGCGTTTAGAAGTGTTTTTTACTGTTCCATATCCAGATGCTGTCCAGAGCCTTTTTTTCATCAGAAATGCATGCAAAGCATTTTCCATGTATTCAAATGGACCCAGTACACCAGCGCAGTCAGATCCAGGTTTCGAAGGAAAAAATGGTAGAACGTGCTGCATTATGCTCATGATGGGATCCATAGTGAATACAACCAGAAAAGACAGGTCATCTCAACACATACTGCTCTCTCTGCTTCTGCTCTCTCTATTCCTCTCAAAGTGTCTGAAATAGTTAATGTTTTACTGTTTTTCAGTGCATTCTGGGCATTGCATTTGGGAAGGTCTCCTGAGGTTATCTTTTAAAAACGCTTCTAAACGCAAACGCACATAAACACGGTATGCAAATGCTGCTAAACTGATGTTTTTTAACCTACGTTTTCAGCAGTCAGTTTCCATCGTTCAGAAGAGTTTCCCAAATGCCCCGTGTACATGAGCCCAAATACATTCAAGCTGATCATTGTAAGCACCCCTGTCAGTGTTAAATGGTTTGTCGCAACTCTCAAACTGCTACATCTGCAGGACAGCTTGTTCTGGTAAAAAAAAACAAACAGACTTATTGGCAGGATCACTAGGTACAAATAAAAGAATTAAAGCCTAAAAAGGAGACTAAATCAGCCATCACATCTAAGAATTGTTAAGCTGCAATATAATAAATATTTGTTTTGGGTTTAATACTGCTTTAAATTGTCTATTTAACATGTTTCTACATGGTAATCTAAGACTACCCTGCCCAAGGGTGACTACGCTGCTGTGTGATTTCACTGCAGGAAAACGTGTTGTCACCCTGTTACAGGAAGTTGAAAAATAACATGTCTACTGGCAGGATCAACAGGTAATTATGTTATGGGGGCTAATGCATCCATTAGCTGTAACCCCCTTTATATATGCTGTTTACTTAAATAAAAACCTCAGATACAACAAGAAGCTCCTGGCACCATCCTTTTGTGTACAATAATGTTTCAAAAATGCTGGCTAGAACTAGAAGCCCCCTGCTGATGAGGCTCCGTAGGTTGAAAAAGTGCTGTCCACAGGTAAGTATTCTCGTTCAGGTTTAGCAAAAGCTATGTGAGTAGGTCTAGTAGGTGAGACATTCACTTATAGGCCTGCCATGTAAAATATTTGGAAATAGTGACATACTGCACATACAGTTGCAAGAAAAAGTATGTGAACCCCTTGGGATTACGTGGAGTTTTGCATGAATTGGGCATAAAATGTGCTCTGAATGTCATCTAAGTCACAACAATAGAAGAACACAGTCTGCTGAACATAATACTACACAAACATTAGATGTTGCCATGGTTTAATTGCACATAACATGTAAACATTCACAGTGCAGGGAGAAAAAAGTATGTGAGGCCCTAGCTTAATGACTTGTCTCAGAGCTAATTGGAGCCAGGAGTGAGCCAACCTTGACTCCAATCAGTGTAATGATATTGGATGTGTTGCTGACAATGGCTGCAACAGCACAGAATACGCCTTCTGGAGTGGCCCAGTCAGAGTCCTGACCTCAACCCGATTGAAATGCTGTGGCATGACCTTAAGAGAGCGATTCACACCAGACATCCCAAGAATATTGCTACACTGAAACAGTTTTGTGAAGAGGAGTGGTTCAAAATTACTCCAGATCAATGTGCATGTCTGATCTGCAACTACAGGAAATGTTTGGTTGAGGTTATTGCTGCCAAAGGAGGGTCAACCAGTTAAGTCCAAAGGTTCACATACTTTTTCCTCCCTGCACTGTGAATGTTTACATGTTATGTGCAATTAAACCGTGGCAACATCTAATGTGTGTGTAGTATTATGTTCAGCAGACTGTGTTCTTCTTATTGTGACTTAGATGAAGTTCAGAGCACATTTTATGCCCAATTCATGCAAAACTCCACGTAATACCAAGGGGTTCACATACTTTTTCTTGCAACTGTATATTTCTCAGGAACCATTGGCTGAAAGTCTCTTCATCTGTGCTTCATATTCCAATGCAGTCAAAACTACTACTGAAAATCTCCTGTAGATGTTATCTCTCATTGTAGAGAGAATACAGTATAAGAGACCTGCAGTAATATTTCAGGATCCTTGTACTATCAATGTGAGCTGAAGCGGTAAATGTAGATTTATAAAGATGTACAGTAGCTGTCTATACAGTTTCACATAGACACCAATCACTATATATTGGAATTCAGCATGCTATCTTATCAATGGAAAAAATGAAATGACTACACAGACAAATATATACCAATAACAGGTCAAGCCTGTAGAATAAATTTTTGAAATGTGAAATTCAGGTTTACTCATGTAGTGCTAGGATTCTGATGTCCCAGTTGCCGATGCGATTAATCATCATCCATCCGTCTTCACTTTGTGGGGCCTCAGGGTGATCCAGCAGATGGTATGTCTGGAGTTCAGGTACGCAGTACTAAAATCCCTGTGCACCTGATGCTCTCTGCACAGCAGTTGTTTACAAATCTATATGAATTTAATTACATAATTGGAATGATACACGTACATAAGTAGTTCACTTAATAATGTATACAAATTTTATTGCTGAAAAGACAGCAGAACAGAGCATTATTATGTATACTTAGAGTATAATTATTGAAACAAGTAAAAATGACTAATTATAAATATTAATAAAACACATTGTCGCATTAAATCATAGCAGAAGTATAGTTTCTATAACTGTTTTACAGGTTACCTAACCTCTCCCAAAATTATTTCCAATGTTCTTTTGTGACAGTTTTAGACCTGTTCACACCTATACAGTTTGCTTTGGATCCATTTTCACAATGTCTTTTTGCATTTTGCTTTGCGGTTTTACCATGTTTTTACCGCGTTTTGCATTTTTCTGCTTTTTAAATGTTTTTTGTTAAAGGGGAAATGTTTTTGTTGCTGAGCAGGATAAAAATGCGGCATAAACACAGCAAAAACACACTGCATGCGTTTCAGCAGCATCTCTGTTGAACTCTATTGTAGCAAAAATATGTAAAACAGTGACAGTGTGCGCTACCAAAAACAAATAAACAAAATAAAATTGAAATTATGATCAAATTAATAGAGTCACTGCACCCACTGAATATGATGTACCGTATTTTCCGGCGTATAAGATGACTTTTTACCCCTTGAAAATCTTCTCAAAAGTCGAGTGTCGTCTTATACGCCGGTATACGGCATACTGACACTTTTTAGGGGCACCGCGCCGCCCCCCCCCCTTCCAAGGGACACTAAGTACAGGGCTGGGCAGGGGCTGCTGTCTCTTACCTGGCTCCGGTCCCACGACGATCCGGTCCAGGAAGTACGGCTGCTCTTTCATTTGGTTCGGCCACTGGATGTTCACGCGGCTGCTCGGCTCCGCCTCCTCACCGCCAGAACTGTAGCTCAGGAAAGGCACACAGGCGGCCAATCACCGGCAAGGAGGCGGAGCCGAGCGGCCCCGCGAAAATCGAGTGAAGGAGCGGCCGGTAAGTGTGCCGTCCAGAGGTGCTGCTGCAACCACATATGCTGGCTGCAGCAGCACCATACTGGAACAGGGGCCAGCAAGTGTCATTGGTAGGAATAGTGCCCCATCATTGGTGTCACTGATACCAATGATGGGGCACTATTCCTCGCACTGACACCAACGATGAGGCACTTTTCCTTCCCCCCCACTGACACCAACGATGGGGCACTATTCCTCCCCCCCACTGACACCAACGATGGGGCACTATTCCCCCCCCACTGACACCAACGATGGGGCACTATTCCTCCCCCCCAGGCAGGTGCGGGGGGTGCGCGCTGCACCGGGTGACACCTATCGCATGGGGTGACACCGGACCCTCTCCACGAGCTCCACGAAAAGGAAAGGTTTAAAGCAAGCCGATGGATCAGATCTGCAGATTGGGGAGCATAATGGATTGGACTCTGATCCATTATGCTCAATCCGCAGATCCGATCAATCCTGCAGGGATCGTCGGAGGGGTGACACCAAGCGTTACCGCACCGAGTGACACCAACCCTAGGAACGCCCCTGCATTAAATAGTTCATATCCATAATGTCTAAGTGATCCAAATTCTGTGCTTCATCCGACAAATATACTCCAGTGATCCAGAATCAATCAATTGTGTGATAAATACCACCACCAGATGTAAGGTTGGCCGCTACAGGTCACAAGTGCTTGGTTGTATTTCTATAAATGGAGTCTAGATGGCAGCAACTGGTGACACTGTAAATCTCCTCCATCAGCAGTATAACTTCCTCCCCAAAAATGTCACCTCCACTTCCTCTCCTCTACTCCGGGACCCCCAGTGAAGGAAAAACAA